CTGCACCATTGGGGGGGTGAGGATCTGTGCCCCACCTCTGTTGAACCCCAAGTTCTCTCCTACTGGCCCTCGGCTGTGTCTGTCTTAGGTCGCCCCACCTCTGTGGAGTCTTACCCGTCTCTGACTACCAACCATCTCTGGGCCAAGTAGGGTGATGTGAGGTTCAGTTCTGTCTCCTTGTTAGCCATGCCCCCTGTGGCCTCCACGCCCAGCACCCGCCTTGGGTTCCCCTCGCCTGCTGGCGGGGCCCCGGCATTGATCACATCTCTTGGGAAACCCAGGTTTCTTCTCCAGAGAGGGCCCAGCTTACGCCATTGGGCAAGAGACAGATCCATGGTACCAGCTTTTCATAAACCCAGCTTGAACGGAGAGCTCAGACAACAGCTGTAGACAATTGGGATCCTTTTGGCAATACAGAATGCTTAAGTGCCCTCCCAGGAGGGAATAAATCCCTTCACATATCGCCAGATTCCGGAGGGATTACATAAGGAGAAGAACATACTGATCTCCTCTAAGATTTTCTGACTTTCCTTGCTAATTCCTTTTCATGGATTTAAAACAAAACAGTAACTGTTGGCATAAAACCTTCTACCCATGCATAACTATGCCCCAGACCTTCTATTCTAAACAGGCTTTTTCCAGCTTTACTACCCCTGACATGGGCATCGTGACTCAGGCCTGCAAGGCAGTATACAGGCTGCCAACTGTTAGCTGTCTCTCAACAGAGTCCAAAACCTGATGGGCACCCTTTCCTGCCCAGTTGGGCACCTGCCCCCTTGGCAGCTAGACACCCTTTACTTTTGGGGGTCACCCCACACTGCTCCCTTCCAGGACAGCCAACACACACTCAAACCTGCAAAAGAATCAAAGGTTAATATAACACATCAATACAATGAAACATCATGGCCGCTTTCGGCAGCCAAATCTTCTGCTACTAAACATGTGACCCCATAAATTGTCCTTGTCTCTTTGGAGCCTTGTCCATGAAGATGCAGGCATTATCTAAGTGTATTACACAGTATTGTGGGGGCTCCTGGTGACAGGAGTGATCGCGAGCCATGTTACCGGCATCAGGCAGGTCGAGCACGCCGTAGCTTGAGCTTGAGCGGGTTGCGTTGATCTCGATCGATGCTCCATTTGGTGATGAAGTCTTTCCGGGTCATGGATGGATCTGCTGACCGCACGTGAGTGTGGTGGACCCAGGTCGCGACGCCATCTACCTTGAGAGCGGTGGGGGTCATCAGCACCACAGTGTAGGGACCCTTCCAAACGTGGTTCTAGGGTCTCCCGGCGGTGCCTTCTGACGTAGACCCAATCTCCTGGTCTGTAGCTGGGGAATAGCGCCTCTATCTGCCTTGCATCCCCAGAGGGCTGCTTGTCTGGCCCCAGATCTATAGAGGGCCGGCCTACCCTAGTGGCAACATAGGAACAGCAGGACTGGCGGATGTCGCAAGGTCCTGCAGGTTCTCCCCCTCTCTCCCTGAAGGACCGGGGGAGCCTTTCCCTTCTGGGGCCTGGCCAAAAGAATTGTCTGTCTCTGTCCCAATTTTCCCCTCGGGAGGCATGCCCTCATCCACCGGGGTTTCTTGGACAATATGTCAATCTAAACCTGAATATAAGGAATTTGATCAGGATGCCCTGGGCGGCCGTATATGACATAATGGACCCGGTAGGCAGTGGTCAGATCAAAAGACCCTGCATCCGGCCACCCCTCCTGGAAAGTGGGCCACTCCCATTCACAGAATCGCTGTAAATCAAAATCATTAACATTATAACTTTTAAATCTACCCCAGAACTTCAGTTTAATACAGTAAATTACAACCCAGGTAAGAGCAACTGATAGACAGAAATCTTTATTAACTAAGTGGGCTGATTCCCTTTAACAGTGAGCAAAAGACTCTGAGAAAAAAATAATTCTCGCAGCTGCAAGAGGCTTTGAAGACTATTAAAGGGGCCAGCCCAAACGTTCAGCCAAGCGCATCAACAGAAAGCAGAATAAATCAAAGTAGCTTTTACTTTACACAGACCAGTAATGATTTATACTTTCTTAGTAGATCAGCCCAGGCTGGAGCTGTATCTAATCCTCCTTCTCTGTAGTAATTTGGCTAGTCCCAAACAAACAAACTTTTTCCCGACCCCATGATGATCGGTGGTGAGAGACAGACAAGGGAGGGGGTGAGTTACCGTTATGCCATATGACGAATCATGGAACCGCAGGTTGGGGCCCACTCGGACTCCGTAACCGAAGTCGTGGAGCCACACAAAGGAGAGGAGAGGGCAGGCTCCCTCCCTCCACACTCACACACTTTCACCAGACATTCACTCAGAGTTTAAACAATCCACCCAATTCCTAACAATTTCCCAATTCCTAAGGGAGCTCTATAGCTTCCCGGGAGGTGATCAAGCTCCCCTTCCACTCACCCGGAGTGGGCCTGACTGATAGGGGGTCGACGAAGATGACTGACCCTATCCCATTTGACAAAGACAAAGACAACAAAGAACAAAGACAAAATAAATCAGCCAAATGCAACCTAAGGTTGCCCGGAACCTGCAGCTTGCTCCCTGAAGTCCTGAAAATTTTCAAAAAACATTGCAGCAGGGTGTACACAAAAGCAGACAACTTTCTGACAATAAACACCAAAACAAACAAATACCAGACAGACAAACCCGGTGCAGCCTACAGCCGCACGAACCAGGGACACTGGCCACCGTCGTGGCCGCGGGTCAGGACCAGGAGTACCGCTGAGTCCAGCCCTCCGTATAGGTCCTTCCGTGGGACGTCCCAATTCCAGTTTAACGACCGGTCCTTACCTCTCTCGAGAGTCCAGGTGGCTCGGTTTCCGATTTGAAAGTTTTTGGGTGGACTGGAGGCCTCCTTGGTAGTCGTAATCCATAGGTGTGGGGTATCTCGCTGAGTGCCCAGCGACAAGTGGGGGAGAGCCTCCTGCCCTAAACAAGGGGTCCCTCTCACCCCTGCCGGGGGAGAGCCTCCTGCCTTGAATAGGGGGTCCCTCTCCTCCCTGCCGGGTATCTCGCTGCGGGCCTCCAAATGTTATGGGTTGGCTTAACGAGATAGACCACCGACTCAGAATTTAAATTTAAGAGCCTTTTATTAAGCTGGCCAGCTGACCACAGTGCCTATCTCCCTGGAACAAAAAGTCTGCCACCGGTCTTTCTGAACCTCTGCACTGAGGTCCCTGGCTCTTTCCCTTACCTCTCTGAAATGATCGACCATAATGCTTAAAAGAGTAGTTTGAGTCTGTCCCATAATGTCCGTCCAGTGAGTCCACAAAATAAAACCAAAAAGACACAAACACAAACAACAAACGGGCCCGAAAATACAGTCTTCCAACTCCATGGAAGCAGAACCAAAACAGGCTTCCAATTCCATGGAAGCCAAACCCGAAAGCTAGACAATGGCCTTATACCAGACTAGCTAGCAGGAGCGACCTGCTTTCCGCGAGGGGCATATCCATCCCTCTGAGGGGCATATCCATCCCTCCTGGGGGGGCGGAACGTCTTCCAACTCCCCCCCGCCTGTGGTCTTTATCGGCGCGTCCACCTAGACCCCTCAGGCAATTACAGATTCCAGAAACGAGCTCACACCGAACAGAACACACAACAAACAACAACACACCTACCGCGCGGTCAGTCAGACTCTTCGGACTGGGGGTCCCTCAATGGTCCTGGGAACCCCGGGCGAGCCCCCAAAATGTTGTGCCCAGATTTCAAAGTTCCCAAGACCCCCCAGGGAGCCAGTCAGTCCGATGCAAAAGCAAAGAGTCATTTACTTCAAACCTAGGTTTGGCTCCCCTGCCACACTCACCGATGCAACGGTAAGCTCCAGTGGCCGAGAGAGAGAGACGCCTGTTGGGACCGGGGGTTTTAAAGGGGGGTGGAGTGAGGGCAGGAGAGGGGACTGTGGGCCCCGCTGATTGGCCAGGCGCAAGTCGGTCATAGTGATGGCGTGCACTTCCCTTGATTATTATTGGTTAGTCCAGAGAAATCCTGGGTGTGGCTAGTAGCGGCTTCTTCCCGTGAGGAAGCACATGGTACCGTCCCAAAATGGAGGACCCAAGGCAAGATGGAGGGCGCACGTGGCTCTGTCCCAAGATGGAGGACCCAAGGCAAGATGGAGAGCGCAGTCCTTGCCCGGCTCCTGCTGCTGCCTCTCGAACTCGCCACAAGGCAGGATGGCCCTCCCGCACAGCCCCTGCAGCTGGCCTGCGGGCAGACTGGGACTCCAGCGCGTCTGGGCGGCACAGGCCCAGCAAACGGGGTGCGGCCGGTGGAGCGGCCCAGCTCTGGAGGAGCGGCATCTGCTCGGAGCAGGCCCGGCCATGGGGCCGGTGCACTGCAGCATGGCGGCCTCCCCGAGCTAGGGCACGCGCCCCACTCCGCTGCCGCCGCTGCTGCACTGGGCCCGGTCCGGGGGGCAGCGGGCGGGCGGCAGCCCACGCCGGGCTCCCGCCGTGGGCTGGGGAGCCAATGCCCCCCCCATGGGGCCCAGCGGCTGGCCCACGCAGGCCCCGGTCCCCCCCCGACCGGGCCCCAAGGGCCGCATGGACCCCCGGCCCCAGCGCGGGCAAGCGGGGAGCCGACCACGGGGGAAGGGAGGGAAGAGCCAGGCGGTGAGGCCTTCCGCTCCCATGACCTCCCCCGCGGTCGGTCGCCGCCCGGCCCCACCCCTCGGCCCGCCGCCAGCCACCACGCAGCCGGCCCGGACACTCGGACCCGCTCTGAGGAGGCCGGCGGCCGCGGAGGGATCCCAGAGCCCAGCGGCCAGACTCCTCCTCCCGCACCGCCCGGAGAGGCGGGCGGCGCGCCTTTCATCACCTTCTCTCTGTGTCTCTCCACACGTGTCCCACGAGAGTCCATGTCTCACCACAGCGGACAGATCTGCGGGGACAGTGTCCCCGGGCTGGCCAGCCACACAGGGCCCTGCAGGGCCACACAGAGCCGGCCGGGGCCCCTCAGACTGTGCCCTCGGGTCTCCGCAGGCTGAACCTCCGGGAGCTGGGCCCCTGGGCTGCCCACATGCGCTGGCTGGTCTGGGTCATGGCCTCCGTGGGCACCATCTATGTCTTCTTCTTCCATGAGCGGTAAGCCGGGGAGGGGGACTTCCGGGGGGGTGAGGGGCCCTCAGGGCTCCAGCAGGGCCTCCTTCCTTCCCCTGGAGGGAGGACACCCCAGGATGCCCCGGGGGCTTGAGGGCACAGCTCTGCCCGGCGTCCCGGCGTCCAGGCCCGTGGACAGCCACAGGTCCACAGCTCACAGAGGGTTCCTAGGCCCACTGCAGGGTGTCACGTGCCGCCTGCCATCCCCAGGCTGTGCTGGCAGACACGGAGCAGCGGCTCTGAGCCCTCGGGGCCCCGTTTGCTTCCATCAGCCGAGCGACACGACGGAGTCACTAGTCAGGGACAGACCGGGCTATAGAAGCAGAAGGAGTGACAGACGCCGGGACCTGCGGGGACCGCAGTGGGTGTCAGCTGATGCAGCCGCTTGGGTCCTTGGACGGCGGCTGCTTGGGCCCAGGGGCCAAGGTGCGGGGTCGAATGGTCATGTCTGCCCCGGGCCTGATAACGACGGGGAACCGAGTCTCAGAGAGAGGATGAGACCTGCCCGAGGTCACCCCTCTGCCAGCGCCCGCGGGGGGTGGGTGACGGCCGCGCCCACGGCGGCCTCTCCTCCTGCAGGTACAAGCTCCTGGAGCTGCTGTGCTACGTGGTCATGGGCTTCTTCCCCGCCGTGGTCATCCTTTCGATGGTGAGTCCCCCCGCCCCCACCCCGGCCTGGGGCCTCCGTCTGCCTGGGGAGCACCCAGACTGGCTCGGGGTCGTCACCTAGAGCCCTCGCCTCTGGCAGGAGGGGAAACCGAGGCTCAGTGTGTCCACGTGACCCGCCTAAGGAGGCGGTAGAATAGACAGGTTAAACCCTGAGGGCCTCTCCTCTCTGAGCCGCAGCTGCCCCGTCTGCTAAATGGACACAGTAAACTCACCCTGCCCATTACCTTCCCGGCCACAGAACGGTATCACTACCACTATTACTGTTAATCCCCATCCAAGGTCATGCTGATTGATTTTAGAGAGAGGGGGAGGGAGGGGGAGAGAGAGAGAGAGAGAGAGAGAAACAGAGAGAGAGAGAGAGAGGAATATCAATGTGAGAGAAACATCGACCACTTGCCTCCCCTATATGCCCTGACCGGAAATTGAACCTGGCTGGGAATCGAACCCACCACCTTTCAGTGCTCCAACCAACTGAGCCACATGAGCCAGGCCAGAGAAGGGTATTATTTTAAAATTATTATTATTGGCAGATGTTAAAATTTTATGAAGTAAAATCTAACAGGGTTTTTTGTTTGTTTGTTTGTTTTTAAATTTTATGGCTTTTAACGAAGGTCTCCCTCTTCTCGAGGTTTGTAAATATTGACCTGTATTTCCTTACATTCCTTTTATGGTTGACTTCTCATTTCTAATCCTGTATATGGTGAGGCCCCCCGGAGGGTCAGCAGTTATTTCATTTACCTGCCATTGAAAAGCCATTGAAAAACGCCCCTCTTTTCCGATGTTAAATTCAGGGTCTGTTTCTCAAATTCCAGTTCTGTTCCAGCAATGGGCCCGTTTTTGTTTTTAATGTCTTACTGATTTGAGAACGAGAGGGAGGGGGAGTGAGAGAGATAGAAACAGCGGGGAGAATCATCCATCAGCTGCCTCCTGCATGCCCCCTACTGGGGATCAGCCCAAAACCTGGGCATGTGCCCTGACAGGGAATTGAACCGGCGACCTCCTGGTCCTGGGTCGATGCTCAACCACTGAGCCACACCGGCCAGGCGGGCCTGTTTTTACACTAACACCAAACCGCCGCCTACTGCAGCTCTAATCGCATTCGAATACTCGGCAGTGAGGGCCTGTGCCATTGGTCTTTCCTGACCTGTTTTCGTGTTTATAGGTTAGCTTTTCCCAAGTTTATTTTTATTTAACCAGTTAATGACCACACATCCAAAACGGAACCATCCCCACACGCCACGATATTTTGAATTTAATTAGAAAAATCAATTTGCAATGAACATTATACAAATAAATATATGACTCACAATTCGGGTGTTCTTGAATATGTTCAGCTGAAAATTCTCACGAAAAATGACTTTAAAGTTGGTCAGGGCTGCCCCGTAGGGAAAACATTTTTTTTTTATAGACGCGCGTGGCGTGTGGGGCGGGTCCCCCGCTCGCATCTACAGACGCTTATGGCGGACAGGGGCTAATAGGCATATTTAAGCTACATCTCTTAAGTTATGTAATATCTACCAAATCACGTTACGTACTTAAATATATCCATGTATGTACTTACATTTGTATAGCAAACGCACATTTAAATACATGCTCACTGCAAAGAATAGGCCTCGTCCGAAAGCATGAAACAGTGGCAGTCCCTCCCTCCTCATGCTGCCACGGCCATGAACGGTTTCCTGTCTGTCTTTCCCATTTTTAAATGTACACGCGAGTCGGTGTGGCCATGCAGACGTGTTGACTTGTTGGCTTTCCTTTTACAAAAATGAGGTCACACTACACAGACACCCGCAACGTGCTCTCTCGCTCTGCACGATGCCGTGGGCGCGTGTCTGTGGCGGTCACGGGCAGTGACCCCTGCCCGTGCTGCTGCCGTGAAGGGGCACGAGGTGGCCCCTGGAGGCCCCGGCACCGTGCTGTGCTGGGCGCCCGGGTGCTGAGCCGCGTCGGGCGCTGGTGACTGTCATCATGTCACTCAGGCTCAGGCCCAGCCCTCCCAGGGCCACGGGTGCGTCCCTTAGTGGAAGGCGGCTGGGAGCCGAGGCCGCCCCGAAGGGGAGGCGGCTGAGCGCCCTCGGCGTTGGTGGCGATGGGTGTGCAGAGGGGACGGTGGGAGCTCCCTGGTCCGCGTGGTGCATTCCTGGGACACGTGTGTCCATGAAGTGCGTGCTGTGTATGCAGACGTGTATGTGCGTGCAGAGGCGGCTTCCGGAAGGATCCTGCACACTGTTCGTGCGGGTTACCTGCCCGCGGTGGGCCTGGGGCATGGGCACAGCACGGCGGCTTCCCCCCTTGGCCCCTCCCTCCCATACTTGAGTCCTTTTTTAAAAACAATCTTCCCCCGAGGATGTCTCCGTTGATTTTTAGAGGGCGTGGAAGGGAGGGGGAGAGACCGAGAGAAACATCGATGTGAGAGAGACACCAACTGGTTGCCTCCCGCACACGCCTGAACCAAGGCCGGGATTGAGCCTGCAACCAAGGTACATGCCCTTGACTGGAATCGAACCCGGGACCCCTCAGTCCACAGGCTGATGCTCTAACCACGGAGCTAACCAGCCAGGGAACAAATACCAGTTTGTTCATCCAACATCCAGGTGGATGCCGGGCTGCTTCCCGTGTGGGCGGGACGGGGGTGGATGATGCTCTGGGAACCCGGATGTGGTAGTTGGCTCCCTCCCGGCTTTCACTGCCTTTGGGCAGGAGCCAGGGGTCTGACTTGTGAAAAAAGGTAAAAAGCTCTCAAACGTCCCTTGAGGTTTTAATAGAAACACATCACCTGTGAGAATTAATTCAGGAGAAGTGGCGACATCACGGTGTTGACGCCCCACCCAGGAGCCCGGGTGGGCTCACCAGGTCTTTTCATTTTCGGGGTGCGGGGGAATGGCCGGGTGCTCCCCACCTTCCTGGCCGCTCCTCTGACCGCCCCCCCCCCAACCCCATCCTTGCCGACAGCCCAACACCGAGGGCCTCTGGGAGCTGGTGGCCGGAGGGGCTTTCTACTGCCTGGGCACCGCGTTCTTCAAGAGCGACGGCCGGGTCCCCTTCGCCCACGCCATCTGGCACCTCTTTGTGGCCTTCGGTGCCGGCACCCACTACTATGCCATCTGGAGGTACCTCTACCTGCCCAGCACCCTGCAGGCCAAGGTGTCCAAGTGAGGCCCCGACGGCGTCCTGGGAGTGTTCCTGCGACTTCAGCCCAGAGCGGGCGCCCCGGCCGCTGCCCTCCTGCGGACGGTCTGAGGTCGGTGGCGGTGGCGGCCACACCATCCCTCCGGCCCCAGGTGAGAAAGAAAGCGTTGGTCAGGGCTGAGGGGGATTAACCCTGTGATGCACTTACTCCCGACAAGTGTCTCCTGCCACAGTGGACGTGAGCACCTGCGGGGAGGGAGCGGGCTGCCCTGCAGGTGGCAGAACCGGGCCAGCACCCTCTTGCGTCCCCAGACGCCGGGCCGGGCCGGCGGTGGTTCCCACCGGTGGCCGGGCCTCCTTTTCTGCTACCAGAGTCCTGGCCGGGGTGCCCCTGCTCAGGGAAAGCCGCCTGGCGGTAGGGCGGGGCCGGTGGGACGGTGACCGGGCAGGCATCACCCATCGACCGCCGCCCGGCGCTGTCGGTTCCCACGGTGCTGGGGCCGCCGGACCAGCCGGCTGGCACTCACGGAGGCCCCTGGTGGGCACGTGGCCAGGCTGGTAAATGTCCCGCGTGGGCTGTGTGTATCTGCACGCCCTCTGGTCCTTTCTGGGAAGCGCCTGGGGTGGGCAGGGGAGCGGTGTAGGCCACGGGGCGCACACCCCGCTGCCTGGCCCGCTGTGCCGTCCTTGGTGCGGAGGGAGCAGCTGGGCTATTGCGTGGCCATGTTGTCTCACGCCCGGAAGCCAGGGGAGCTCCGAGAGCCGTGCCCCGGGCGCAGCGCCTCCGGGCCTGCCCGCTGCAGGTTAGGGCTCGTGACACTAACATTCAGGGTCTCGCTTGGTGCCATCAATGGCCCTGGAAGGCTCGCCCCCGAGCCCAGAGGGAGGGCCCCCGAGCTCAGAGGGAGGGCACCCTGACCTCTGGAGCCCCGAGCAGCCCAGCCTCAGGCCTGGGGCAGCGCCAGCCCCTGCGCACCTGGCACACAGATGGGCACTGGAAGGCCCCGCCCAGCTCCGGGGTTTGCAGAATCAGAGTCCCTGGGTCCAGGATCCCTGGCAAGTCAGACGAGCCTCAGTGTCCGGCTCCCCATGAGGGTTGGGGGGCAGACAGGAGGCCTTCTGTTCTGCCCAGCCGGACCCGGCCTTTCAGGGCGCACACGGCTTCTGAGTCGTGTGTCCAGCCCGCGCTCAGTCACCTGACTCCGTCCACAGACGGGGCCTGAGCAGGCAGACGCTTGGGACATAAGTTTTGTCCTCTTACCGTGTGTGTGCACATGTGTGTACATGTGGGTGCGTGTGTGCGGCTGCGCTGCTCCCAGCCCCTGCCAGCTGCCTTCGTTCAGGACACCTGCCCGCGGAGCTCACCTAGGAACCCCATCAGTCGGAGTCAGGCTTGGAGGTCGGGGCGGGGCTTGCCCTGGGTGGGGCGGGGGCACTGTACTGGCCCCCTGGCCCCAGCCTGGGTGTGGGGTTCCCCGAATGATGTTCAGGAGGCCTCCCAAAGCGTGGCACCAGGGCAGGCGAGACGGGAGGCCGCCTCCAGGTGCTGATGGGGTGAAAGGCCCGCGCTGGGAGCTGGGGACCCTGACCTGGGCCTTGCCCGTGGCCACTGCTCAGCGCCCCACCTGGTGCCTGCGCCCCTCTTCTGGGCACTGGATCTTGCCTTTCCCCGAGCCCCCCCCCCCCACTTTATGCCCTGGGATCTTCTGAGGAGGTGCCGGCTCACCTCCCCGCCCGGCACACTCCTGTTCACCCTTCAGAGCCCTGCTCAGGGCATTCCAGCCTGTGCACTGCGTGGGGGGAGGGCTCGGCCCTGGGAATTCAGACACCAGCTCCCTCTCCGTCCGTCCGTCTGTCCTCGAGGCGTCACATGCTAGGACGTTCCAACCGAGCGGCTGTTGTGTCCCGAGGAGCCGGGTGGGTGCCCTGTTTGACCCTCTGGGCACTTCAGTGGCTGCTGCTGAGCCAGGCGGGCGCGGCGGGAGCCGGGCACTCAGCAGGCTCTCACCCGCCCCTGCCTCCCTCGCACACCGCATGGGTGGACAGGCCTGGCCTTGACAAGCGGCCTCAGTCCATCGCTGACCGGCCGGAGGGCAGCCTCCCCGCGGGGAGGGCTGGAGTCCGTGCCTCGGACCGGAGCTGCCTTCTGCCTCCATTGGAAACTGCGTGGACGGCGGGAGCAGGGCTGGCGTCCTCTCTCCGTCCGTCCTGAGCGCGGGGCGGGGCGAGTCCTGGGAAAGCCCCGTGGGGTGGGGCGTGCAGAGACCAAGGGGCCGAGGCCTGAAGATCCGCAGCCTCCGTTCTAGAAGCTGCTCCTGCTGGCTCCCCGGGAGAGCCGCGGGCCCAGGAGCTCAGTGCCTGCGGGTGGCGGCCGCGGGGTGCCGCCTGGGGCCCGGTGCCCTCCAGCCACTGGACTGTGAGGGGAAGGTGGCTCCGAGCCTCTGGGCTCCGGGAGGCGGGTTCCGGGGCCTCTGGAGGCGGCGGCCCCGGCTCGGGGGGCCTTGGGGCGGGCGGTCTCCTGGATGCCCTTCGCGGGCAGCACGCGGAGCCTTTGCTGGGGAAACGGGCTCTGACCCACTTCATGGGCCCGCCCGTCCACAGTGAGTGGCAGGAGGCGCCCTGCTGCCGGGGCTCCGTGTCGGGAATGCGCTGTGGGTGTTAGCCGGTGTCTGGCGTCTGATAAACGCGTATGAAGACTCCTCCTGCGGCTGACGTCCTGTCTCCAGCGGAGCAGATCCAACAGCAATAAAAACGCAGGTGCCGCCCTGGCCGGTGTGGCTCAGTGGATGGAGCGTCGGCCTGCGGACTGAAGGGTCCCAGGTTCGATTCCGGCCAAGGGCATGTACCTTGGTTGTAGGCACATGCCCAGTAGGGGGCGTGCAGGAGGCAGCTGATCGATGTTTCTCTCACATTAATGTTTCTAACTCTCTATCCCTCTCCCTTCCGCTCTGTAAAAAATCAATAAAATACATTTTAAAAAACCCCCAAAAAACGCAGGTGCCTCGCCCCACACGGCTGTCTGAGAGGAACCGCTGTCAGTCCTCCTTCATAAAAGCGAGCTCCGCCCCTCGTAGGGAACCTGGAATGGTCGGGAAGCGCCCGTCAGCCAGACGCACTAGGCGGGCTCTGGCGGGACAGGTGACGCTGACATGCGGTGGCGCCAACAGCAGGTCATCGCCGGCGCTCAGGGCCTCGGTCAGCGGGCAGGGACCTGGTGCTCGGGGCCTCGGTCAGCCGGGCGGGGACCCGGGCTCAGGGTGCCGGTCAGCCGGGCGGGGACCCGTCAGAGGGTTCAGAGCTGGGGCTGGAGGAGGCGAAGGCGCGCTCACTCAGAGTCTGGTCGCTGGTACTCGCAGCTGGCGAGGCCCCCAGCGGGGCAGCGGCCACACACCCGGCTTTAGGCAGTAGGTTTGGGCCCCGGCCAGGTGCTCAGTTGGTTAGAGCGTTGTCCCCCTCAGCCAAGGTGTGGGTTCAATTCCCGGTCGGGGCACAGACCAGAACCAACCAATGAGTGAATGAACACGTGGAACAACAATTCGGTGTCTCTCTCTCAAACCAATAAATAAAAACAAAAAGTAGGTTCTATCACTCGTCAGGTAGGTGAGGCCAACAGATTACAAGATGATGGCCACTGGCAAGTTGGTTTGCTACTCACAGGTCCCAAAGAAGGGCACAGGCTGCCCCCGGGCCACTTGGGGAAGCACCAGGGGGGTCAGCAGGTGGGGGAGCCAGGGAAGACATGGACAAGAGCCTTTACTGGGGTTCCTGTGGGATGGGACAGGTGAGCAGGGCGAGCAGGCTTCGGGCTGGCTGGTTTGGGTAATTTCAAGGTCTCCGGGGTACAGGGGTTGTTCCTAGCTTTGTGGTACCTGGTTCTGGGGTGACGAGGGCAGGGGATGGCTGCTGGAGTAGGAGCGCCTGACGGAGGAGGTGGGGGGACGGTCTCCAGGTCGGTAGGTTTGCATCTGAGAGGGGAGCTCACAGGTGAGCTGCTCACAATCTCCAGGGATGGGTGGTCCTGGGAGGGGCAGTCTCCCCGGCTCAGTAAGGCCCTGAGGACAGACATCAGAAGAAAAGACACGCTTAACCCATACCCACAAGTGACTTCCCCACGTGGCCAGGGCTTCCTTACAACATGGCCGCTGGGTCGAGAGAGAGAGAGAGAGAGAGAGAGAGAGAGAGGGCGCCAGGCGGGACACATGGAAGTCGTGCATCGTCACGTCTGACACACAGTAGGCCCTCGGGTTATGTTTGAGATCCGTTCCCACGGCGACATAAGGCGATTTTCACCGTAAGTCGGAACCCACCTGCATAAGCACCTGCGTCACTCACATGGAGCACAGGCACAGCAGCAATGAAGTGAAACAGTAAAAAAATTTAAAAGAAAACAATTCCTGACCTTGACTTGTGGTCAATAAACAATAGAAAACATAAAGCACATATGTACAGACGTCAAAATGATGGAACTTTTTTTTTTATAAATAAATGGGAGATGGTGACGTAACCACGAAACGAGTCCGACGTAACCCAAGGACTGTCTGTACGTATTCTGTTGCTCAACTCAGCCCAGAGGTCCTCCCCAGGCCCCGGGGGGAGGTGCAGAGCTCCCACTAGCTGAGCGAGGAGCCCAGTGCAGCGGGGGTGGGGGGGTGGGGGGGGTGGGGGGGTGGGGGGTGGGGGTGGAGGGGGGGGTGGGGGGGGGGTGGAACTCAGGTCCAGGCGGATATCTTTGGAAATTGTCATCTGCCGCAAACTCCGTCCCCGAGAAAGAATCCGTTAGTGTCCCTCCCGATGCTGCTTGCACACCTTTTGAAGGTGATTTCACAAAAGAGGCGATTCATTAATGAAAGGCTGTGCCCTGAGGCAAGTGCTTCAGCCCCTCTCGGCTCGGGCTAAGTTGGGGTTCTCACGCATTCTTTTTCCTTGGGAGCCGGAAAGAAGGTCTCTGGCCGGACCACGCTCTTTCACCCCAAATTTGAAAAGTGCGGCAGCTCGTCCCAGGCCAACCGCCTGCACCTGCCCCCAGGTCCCCCGTCTCTGACTTCTCAGTGAGCAAGGCAGCCCGGCCTCGGCTCATCTCCCCACTCGCCCCTCTCCTCGTTTCCTGGGCCCTTCCTTGTTTCCCGGTCCCCAGATGTCCTCTAAGATTCAGAAAGAAAGAGAAGGGAAAAGTGGTCATTGGTTCCCAATTCTCAGTTTAACGATAAGTTAACACGTCGCATTTCCTCAGCCGTCATCGTTTTCTCATACACACACCATAAGCCACCTCGGGAAGGCTCACGGGCAGCACATCACGTAAACAAACAAGCAGTATCCATGGCAACGCTGGGCCCCACGGCGCACACGTGGTTCTTCAACACTTGCCGTCCTCCGGCCCCCGTGCTCACGGGTGTGATTTCACGTTTGACCGGACTGCCTGGTCCTATTTTTGGCTAATGGAGTTGACCCTAACCCCTCTGTGGGTTGAAATGCAACTTTAAAACAAGCCAACAACACTCCGAAAACCCTCGGCGCATGAGGTCCTTGGTAAGGGTGCCTCTCTCTTTAAAAAATGTTTTTATTGATTTATTTATTTATTTATTTATTTGAGAGAGAGAGAGAGAGAGAGAGAGACCGACACCAAGAATTGAACCTGGACCTCTGGGTGCATGGGATGACGCCGGACCCGCCAGGCCACCGGGGCCAGGGCTGGAAGCCGGCCTTTCCACTCCCCGGTCCCGCGAGCACCAGGGCTTCCAGAGCCTTCCCCACACAGACCGTCTAAGGACCACCGCGGCGGGTGGTTTTGAAATTTCTTAAGTTTCTAAACATTTTGACAGCGAAAGGAATGTAGTTCAGGTTTCTTAAGAGCAGGTCAAACCCTCGAGTGGATTCGTCTGACACCACCTACTTTAATGATATCGAGACCGTGGTGGGTCCGTTTGCGACACCTGGACACGGCCAATACCCCGGCTCACTCCCCATCTGCGAGCGAATGACTCTGAAGCGGTATTTCCCAGCTAAAGGTCCCACC